CACCTTCTCGGTTCACAGTGGAATAAAAATAATCATTAACACCAACAAGGTCCCCCCAAAACCCACAAAGACATGGACACTAAACAGCATGATGCTAAACAACTCCTGGGTCAAAGATGAAATCAAAACAGAGATTAAAAGGTACCTGGAAACAAATGAAAATGAAGAAACATCTTACCAAAATCTCTGGGACGCCATGAAAGCTGTAGTAAGAGGGGAATTTATATCCCTACAAACGCACATGAAGAAAATGGAAGGATCACAAATTAACAGCCTAAGAAGCCACCTAAAAAAGCTGGAAAAGCAAGAACACAAAAACCCTAATTTCAGCAGAAGAATCCAGATCACCAAAATAAAACCCCAATTCCAGGACATAGAACACAAAAATACAAAAAAAAAAATCAATGAAACAAAAAGCTGGTTCTTTGAAAGGATAAACAAGATTGATGGTCCCCTAGCTAGACTGGCCAAGACAGAGAGAAAAAGCCCAAATAAACAAAATCAGAAACACAAAAGATGAAGTCACATCTGATCCTGAAGAAATACAAAAGATCATTAGAGACTACTATGTACACTTCTATGGAAACAAACTTGAGGAAATGGAGGAACTTCTGTCATCACACAACCTGCCTAGGTTGAAGCAAGAAGAAATTGAGACCCTAAATAGACCAATAACAATCAAGGAAATTGACTATGTAATAAGAAACCTACAAAAAAAAAAAAAAGCCCTGGACCAGATGGCTGCCCAGCAGAATTCTACAAGACATTTAAGGAGGAGTTTATACCAATCCTACTGAAGGTATTCCAGGTATTGAGAAAGGCGGAACTCTCCCCAAATCATTTTAGGAAGCTAACATCACACTGATACCCAAGCCAGGTAAAGACCCAACAAAGAAAGAGAACTACAGGCCAATATCTTTGATAAACATAGATGCTAAAATTCTCAACAAGATCTTAGCGAACCAGATTCAACAACACATCTCAAAAATCATCCATCATGACCAAGTAGGCTTCATCCCTCGGATGCAAGGCTGGTTCAACAATTGTAAAACCATAAATGTAATTAAATGCATCAACAGATGTCAAAACAAAAAACACATGATTATATCATTAGATGCAGAAAAAGTTTTTGTCAAAATCCAGCACCCCTTCTTGATAAAAACCCTCGAACATCTAGGCATACGGGGAATATACCTCAAAATAGTAAAAGCCATCTACGAGAAACCCACAGCCAGCATACTCCTAAATGGACAAAAATTGGAACCATTTCCCCTGAAAACTGGAACAAGACAAGGATGCCCACTCTCACCCCTCCTGTTCAATATAGTATTGGAAGTCCTGGCTACAGCAATCAGAGAAGGCAATCAGGGGTATTCAAATAGGAAAAGAGGAAGTCAAGCTATCTCTCTTTGCAGATGACATGATCGTGTACCTTGAAAACCCA